AGAGAGAGACTTTCTCTGGGGTCACATGGTCTGAGTCGCAGCAGAAAAATTTTAATTAAATATTTTAATGATCTGCTGGAGACAGGGGGCGCTATCTGACGGAGGATGTGAAACAGTTATGACAACAAGACAGAGATGAAGAGGAGGGATAAGTGTGTGTGTGTGTGTGTGTGTGTTTTTGCTCCCGGCCTGAACCACTTCTCTGTATAAACATTTCTACAGAAACAGAACAGAGTCAGTGCTGATCTGGTCTGTGTGTGTGTCTGTGTCTGGGTGTGTGTGGGGGCCCCTCCCCCCACACACACCACTGTGCTCTAACACAGGAATCCTCCGCGGTGTTAAAATTAGCCTCAAAGCTGCACACTTTGCCAACACACATTTTACTTTGAAATGTCTGTGAAATATGGATGAGAAAAAACAGCTACAGGGGAAGACACACACACACACACACACAGACACAGACACACACAGACAGACAGACAGACAGACAGACAGACAGACAGTTCATTTAAGAGGACGACACTGTCACCTTCACAGTGAGCTGTGATTTAGAGCTAGCTGCATTAGCTCTGAGAATTAGCCACAACAGCTAACAGCCTGGTATATAACTACTGGTCTGTAGTTCTGGGGAGTACTACAGACTGGTCTGTTGTTCTGGTGAGTACTACAGACTGGTCTGTAGTACTGGGGAGTACTACAGACTGGTCTGTTGTTCTGGTGAGTACTACAGACTGGTCTGTAGTTCTGGTGAGGACTACAGACTGGTCTGTAGTACTGGTGAGTACTACAGACTGGTCTGTAGTTCTGGTGAGTACTACAGACTGGTCTGTAGTTCTGGTGAGGACTACAGACTGGTCTGTAGTACTGGTGAGTACTACAGACTGGTCTGTAGTACTGGGGAGTACTACAGCCCGGTCTGTAGTTCTGGTGAGTACTACAGACTGGTCTGTAGTACTGGTGAGTACTACAGACTGGTCTGTAGTACTGGTGAGTACTACAGACTGGTCTGTAGTACTGGGGAGTACTACAGACTGGCCTGTAGTTCTGGTGAGTACTACAGACTGGTCTGTAGTTCTGGTGAGTACTACAGACTGGTCTGTAGTACTGGGGAGTACTACAGACCGGTCTGTAGTTCTGGTGAGTACTACAGACTGGTCTGTAGTACTGGTGAGTACTACAGACTGGTCTGTAGTACTGGGGAGTACTACAGCCCGGTCTGTAGTTCTGGTGAGTACTACAGACTGGTCTGTAGTACTGGTGAGTACTACAGACTGGTCTGTAGTTCTGGTGAGGACTACAGACTGGTCTGTAGTACTGGTGAGTACTACAGACTGGTCTGTAGTACTGGTGAGTACTACAGACTGGTCTGTAGTACTGGGGAGTACTACAGCCCGGTCTGTAGTTCTGGTGAGTACTACAGACTGGTCTGTAGTTCTGGTGAGTACTACAGACTGGTCTGTAGTACTGGTGAGTACTACAGACTGGTCTGTAGTTCTGGTGAGTACTACAGACTGGTCTGTAGTACTGGGGAGTACTACAGCCCGGTCTGTAGTTCTGGTGAGTACTACAGACTGGTCTGTAGTTCTGGTGAGTACTACAGACTGGTCTGTAGTACTGGGGAGTACTACAGCCCGGTCTGTAGTTCTGGTGAGTACTACAGACTGGTCTGTAGTTCTGGTGAGTACTACAGACTGGTCTGTAGTTCTGGTGAGTACTACAGACTGGTCTGTAGTACTGGGGAGTACTACAGCCCGGTCTGTAGTTCTGGTGAGTACTACAGACTGGTCTGTAGTTCTGGTGAGGACTACAGACTGGGCTGTAGTTCTGGTGAGGACTACAGACTGGTCTGTAGTACTGGTGAGTACTACAGACTGGTCTGTAGTACTGGTGAGTACTACAGACTGGTCTGTAGTACTGGGGAGTACTACATGTGTACTTCCTTCAGGAGACGCAGTAAATTCAAAGTTGTTAGTGATAAAAGCAGTAGCAGTGTGACAGCTGACTCACAGGCGCCCCCTGTGTCTGACCTGTGACCTTGAGCTGGGTGGTCCTCCTCACCACCCTGGATCCGTACTGCAGCTCACAGGTGTAGTTCCCGGTGTCGCCCTCCTCCACCTCAGGGATCCACAGGTGGGTGGTGTTGAGCACGATGGAGCTCCTCCACTGCACGCGCTCACACTCCTGACAGCAGGACACCACCGTTACACAGGTGGGGGGGGGGGGGGGGGGGGGGCGGGAGGGCGCAGCGCACCCTGTC